ATATATATGTAAGTATATCCTGGTGGTAACAAAACAACCACCAGGTGGCAGCACACATGAACTTTCAGGGCCAGGGAAGAGACCAAAGTTCAAACAAAATCTATTTTTTGGTCATATTTTGCATTTGTTTGTTTGTTTGTTTGTTTGTTTGTTTGTTTGTTTGTTTGTTTGTTTGTTTGTTTGTTTGTTTATGAGTGGTAGACTTATCAGCCTTTACTCAAAAATCTGCAAAATATCTTAAAGTTTCTGCCTGTTATATTTAAAGGATAAAATCTTTGTATCAACATTCTCATTTTTGTCTCTATACGGTACAAAGAAAAACACTCTTATTTTGATATTAAGTTAACGCAAAAGAAACATTTTCAGTAGCCTTCCTTTTTTACTTATAACACTGTGACTAGAAAGGTTAGATATAATTTGGCACATTACCTGAGTATTTCTGCTGTTCTGTTCTGAGATGTTGTAGGGAAATTCTAAATTATTATTTTTGACACTTTATTAATCGTTTATTGAAATTTTCTTTTAGATGGATATTGTTGTCTATGAGTAGATATATGGGTGGATATTTTTGATTCCACTCTGTTCATATTTTAAATTAAGAAACAGCTGTAAAAATAAGTTAAGCTGTTAAGCATTTAAACAAGCAATTAAGTTTAGCTTGTTTAACTGGCTTTCATTTCAGCTCTTTGAACTACATTGTTATCATAATAACCTGCTTTTAGCCGTGACCTACATGTTGAGTCAGTTTTAATATGCAAATATGAGAAGCGTTGGAATGTATGAATGTTCTGTCTGAGGATCCACCTCACCTGCCTGTGGACAAAACATCAAGGCTGCAGGTGAATTTCACATTAAAGAGTGAAGAAAAAAATCTGGTCATGAATAATAACAATTAATTAGCAAGAGTTAAACACCAGTCTGGGTCCCAGCATATTCACTGATACAAATTCTGATATGAGCATTTTAATAAACCTAACTTATATATATATATAAGGAACTGAAACAAAACTAAAGTTTTCACATCTGTCGAAAATATTACTACTAAAGGGATTATCTTAAAACATTTTATCTGACCTGAAAACATATTTACCTTTTAACCTTAAAAAATAATATATATTTAAAACATTGTTTTTAAAAGCAGGATTTTATATTTTTCCTAGCAGATCTTATGATTGAACAGTTTATTAATAGATAACATTTATTTACCAACATTATGATTGTAAATCAGTGATCGACCTGTTTTGAACTCTGGCTTTGATGATTCACTCCTTATATGCAAATTTAAAGAAAGGTAGCAACCAACATAACAGGTGCCTGAGTCATTTCCCATAGCTGTGGATTCAAATTACACAACATAAAGTTTTTTTAATAGTGTCTAATAAATATATATTGATATTACTGTTAAGTGGATGTGGCACAGCTGAACATCATAAAATAACTTTTATGACTCAACAAATGACCTTTTTAACCTACAGAATCATCTGGAGGACCAGTGGTCTGTCATGAATTTGGAACAGTTCTACTACAAAATAATAGAAAACATACTCTAGGAGCAGATTTTAATGAAAATAAAAACAATCATCTCTACAATCTGACTCCGCAGAGCTGAATTGTTGTAATTTTTCATCCATCCACTTTTCTTTAACCTTTTCCTTTCAGGGTTGCAGACATGTTGATGTTCCTACATGTCAACCCATTCAGTCTACCTGACCTTCAGAAATCCATTAAAGTTACAAAAACATCTTTAGTGCTCTTACACGATGCAAACTTTACTTACAACAACATGAATATTATGTTGAATTTTAGATTTATACGACTACAGCCCAGTGCAAAAAACACCTCGCTGTTCTTACAGATGATCCTGGTTGGATTCAACCTTCAGTGTGCGGAGGTGCAAGAAATTTAAGAATAAATATAGAATCCAACATCAAGTTCTACTTTTCATTATGAATTTATTGTGATCAGGTGACGATGTGTAATGAAAAAAAGACCACTAGATAGCCCTGTGATGGACATGCGACCTGTCCAGGGTGTTCCCTGACCCTCATGCTCTGACTGCTGGAAACAGGCACCAGTGTTCCCCGTGACCATAAAACAGGGCTATTCAACTAAATCGCTCTGGGGGCCACAGTTACTGTAGGTCAACAGCTCAGGGGCCGAACATCCAGAAAATTAAAGTCATTATGTACAGTAAAAAAATAAAATACATTACAAAGATCTGATTTTGCTGCATTTAACCATGAATACAACATACAGAACCTAATAAAAGTAGTGATAATTAAACAATATCAAACACAAAAACACATTACGCCTCCTATTTAACACAAATATTATTTTGATATCAAAAAGAAAAAAATTTGTATAGGTCTTCTGGACGGGTTCTTCTCTAATGAAACGTTTCGTCTCTCCTCCAAGAGACTTCTTCAGTCTGAGAGTTTCAGGCAAAATTCAGGCTTTTAAGCCCTGCCTCCATGTGACTGATACTCACATCACATGGCTATCGTTGACACCTAATTAACACTTATTGTTAACAGGGGGTGGAGTGATACTGGCAATGGCCGCGCTGTTGGGGGGGACAACTGAAAACGGAGGCCTCCACCTCTGTTTAATGATGGACGGTCATTCTTCACAAAAATGGCTTCTTTTACTCCTCTCTCAAACCAACGTTCCTCTCTATCAAGAATGAGAACATCCTCATCTCTGAAAGAGTGACCGCTGGCCTGTAAATGAGTG